GAATTAATTCTTAAAGAAACTTTTCAAGATTCTTGTACTAAAGTTATAATTTGTAAAGGTTATGTTCAATATGCAACAAATGAACAAAGACAAATTTTGATTGAAGAAGCACATTCCTCTGCTATAGGCGGTCACAAGGGAGTTACGAAAACCTATAATAGAATTCGGCAAAAATATTTTTGGGAAAATATGAAATTAGATATCCAGAAATATATTCAAGCATGTTTACAATGTCAGTTGAAAAAGTTAGTTCGAGTAAAAACTAAAAACCCAATGGTTATTACTGATACACCAGGAACCGCGTTCGAAAAAATTTCTATGGATATAGTAGGACCTTTGCCAGCAACAGAATCGGGAAATGAATGCATTTTAACTATACAAGACTGCTTAACAAAATATTCTATTGCTGTCCCCTTACCAAATCAACAAGCCAGTACAATAGCTGATGCTTTTGTAAAGAAATTCATTTGTACTTTTGGCTCTCCAAAAGGCGTTTTAACAGATCAAGGTACAAATTTTTTGAGCAATCTTATGAAACGATTAGCAAAACGATTTCGCATTCGGCAATTTAAAACAACTTCTTTTCACCCTCAATCAAATGGTTCATTAGAAAGATCACATCATGTATTAGCAGAATATCTTAAACAATTCATTAATAAAAATACTCAATGGGACGATTTGTTAGAATTAGCTATGTTTTCTTATAATACAAGCGTCCATGAAGGTACTAAATGTACACCCTATGAGTTAGTTTTCGGTAGATTACCAAGATTACCTTCAAGTTTACCACTTTTGGAAGAAGAAAAACTCGAGACTTATGATGACTATTTAGTAAAATTAGTTACAAAATTACATGATATTCAATCTCTCGCGCAGAAAAATTTAATTGAATCTAAAGAAAAATCAAAAACTTACTATGATCGTAAAGCTAACCCTCAAAATTTTAAAATCGGAGATAGTGTATTTTTATTACAAGGTCCTAAACCGAAAAAATTAGGTAATCAATATACAGGACCACATGAAGTATTAGAAATATTGAGTAAAGGAAACATAAAAATTAAAATAAATAAATCACCAAAAATTGTACACATTAACAGACTTCGCTTGTCTCATATTCATCATGCTAACCAAAATTAATTTAAACATTTCTATAAAATATAGCAAGAATAGTGAATTAATTCAAATCTTAATACACATCCTTCAATATATTCACTAAATACACATAAACAAAACAATTTGCTTTTGCAACATTATTGTTTGCTCTTATAATTATAATTCTCCATTTATACAATTAACTTTTTTATTAAAGTAAATAATCCAGTTTTGCATATTCTTAAGCATTAAAATACAAATAAAAAAAGGCATTGTCAGTAACAAAATAAATAAATATTATAAAAAATATATAATTATCTGTAATAAATACAGATTACTCGAATTTTATATTAAACAACTGGAGTATTTTCTTAAGCATACATTTTAATTTTTAGATATAATAAAAAAGAGACATTAAATAATTGATAATAATATAGAGATATTTCTGTTTCAGGTGATTAAAATATATTATGGACATTCATTATATTAATATTTGCTATTTTTCTTCCAGGATCTATTTTTACATTATAAAATTTACTTCTTTTTTCTTTTAAATATTTCGTATAAGAAAGTTTCATATTAATATTTTGTTTTTTTTTCCTAAATTCAAATATTCAAAAATTAAAAAAAAAAAAAAAAAAAAAAAAAAATCAATTTTTTTTAAATTCTTAAACTTCATTTTCTTGTAGTTCGTATCAATACCGAAATTTGATTACCACAATGTGACACGAAATTTTGAGATCTAAAACATGTAAATCGAGATTGAAATTTTTTTTTTCCCAATTCAAAATATTCGAAAATTTATATAAAAGATGCCAGATAAAATCGTAAATATCTCGTAAACTATAAGCCTAATTGAAAAATGTCATCGATTTAAAAAATTATTTATTTTAAAAAAGAAAAAAAGAAAAGAAACATGTAGTCTTGAAAATGAGAACAACGTTACCTGATAGAATCTTATATTCCTTTAGGTAATATGAACGGGCATGGTAAAAATAAATAAATTTTCCAATTCGTGTTATGGAGAATTTATCAATCGAATTTAGTTTTTTAAACCAATATATTGATTACCGAAGTCGAGAAATTAAAAAATAGCAATATGTCATTTAAAACATGGAATGATTATATCGAAATCAAAAATTGAAAAAAAATTCTATTGATAAAGATAAAAGGAAGGATTGCAACTAATGTCACAATGAGTGTGTAAACAATATGATTATAATATATCGACACTTAGAGTAAAAAAAGAAAATTTTAATTAAGCAAATGCAGCTTATCTTGTGAGCAATGTTTCGAAAAATATCATATAGCAAGAAATTGTTACAATAAAAAAAAAGAACGAAAATTATCCAATTAATTAATATTAAAGCAAAAATTCTTTAAATCAATGTTGTAAATTCTATTCATGTCAAAACTTCGAATGCTTCTCGTTTTTCTCTTAAAGGAGGGAGGGATGTATAAGCTTATATAAATCTGTTTCAAAAATTATACCTGCGTTCAGAAAGGAAAATGTTAGAAATTTTTTTTTCTGCCTTCCTCCTTTTCGTAAATATATGTGGATGAAAATCTTTAACAGAATAATATAACATTTCAAAAGTATAAATTATGTATGAAAAAAAAATAGTTGAACTCTGTCATCATCAGAATGTAATCTATCTGTATGCACTATTTATTGAAAACTTATATCTTATTCTAAATTAACCAATGTGTAAAGAGCAAATAATAATAATGCATCCTTAAAATCTTGTATAATACATGGTATGAGTGTCTTTATAAATATAATTAAAATTCCTTTTTATATACTACTTCTACTAATTCTGTGAGCTTTTACGAAAGTATTTCAAATTTGTATATGCTTCTATACATAAGATCCCAATCTCTATGATTAAATCATTTTTAAATCATGTATGACTATTAACTCAAAAATGATAGTACGGGATATGTGTGAAAATCTTTGAAATCATTAACAATAATATTCGTATGTATTTTTCAATATATATAAACTTGTATCTTAACTTGGTGTGAATAAGGTGTGAAACTATATTATGTGTATGACGTATTTTCTCTTAGGTCTTTTAAACATTGATGTCTAAAAACTTTACATAATATAATCAAAATTGTAAGTGACATTTCCCTCAAATAACTTAACTCTTCTCAAAAACTGAATTCGTAAATTATTCAATTTCATTTCTAATTTCCGAATTTTAAAGGGGGGAGGTGTCACGTCACCGTAACTTTTACATTCATAATTATAAGAATCCTTTTAATCAATACCGAGTTATATGTCTCTGCGACAAGCACACGTGTTTTTGTTACGCCTCTAAATACTTTTCTCTTAAATGTTCAATTTCCGCCCCTTTTTTTCGTGCAACTAAACATCATTCTTTTATATATAAAAGACCCCTGCGTTTTGTATCCTTCTACGACAATCTACTGTATTTCTATTTCTGTATACATACAAATAGAAGCGAGAAATCTTTTATGATACCAGAAGAGCTCACACCCCCACAAAACAAAATGATCCCTTTCTAATTTCCCCTATGTGCTAAAATCAAACGATGTAATAAATGCGCTCTTTCCAATTATCCTATGTGACGAACCCCTGTGGTATCACCACATTAGAAGAGTACAGCTGCGAATAATCATAGTCATACTTTTTGTATCTTGAAGAAGCTGGTTCACACCCCCCTTTTTACGTTCAACTGAGAGAGAAGGACTGAACTTTGACTTCCAAAATTAGGGTGAAAATATATAGTAGGACAATAAAATTTTATCTATTCTCTTACGAAAACTCAGTATAAAAGGGCTACATTTTCATGGAGAGATCAGTTCTGGGATCCTCTTCATACGTATAACATCAACTAGTTCTGGGATCCTCTTCATACGTATAACATCAACTAGTTCTGGGATCCTCTTCATACGTATAACATCAACTAGTTCTCAAATTATCTTCATACGTATCAATCTCATTCTTGGTGCCAGTCGACGTCTTATAGTACAAGTGCATAATTCTCTTATATCAAAGTGAAAATCAAGCATCAATACCCTCTACATAAAACGAGGATCATCACTACTTATTGCATTGGGCAATTATCTATTTATTTGGAAGAGACTCATTATTCGGACATTCGTCACGCCTAATAGAACTCCGGACCTGCGGTTATACCTGGGCCCGTCAACCTTCCGGACGTCATAACTCACGCTGGTACCAGCTCTTTTTCCTGTGTCAACAAAGGACACAGCAGTGGTCCTTTTCTTTATTGAAACTTATCTACTACTGAATTTTAAGGTAAGTGTCTTATATTTTTACTCCTAACTTTCTAAACTTGTCGTATATTTGTGGTAACCCTTACATTCCTTATTTCAGTTGAATGCTGAACTCATTTCCTGGATTGGTTGGTTTGAGATTCCCTCTCTCTCGCATAAGAACGAACTATTTTAACCCTAAAAATTTGTCTAAATAAAATTGTAACTTAATCATAAAAATTTCTATTCTCTTTCTTACCTGTACCCTTAGTTCAGAGCCTTCTGCTCTGTAAATGAAACAGGATTACCCTGAATCACCGAAGCGGAAATAAATAAAAATAAAATATAATTTCTGAAGTTATTTCTTATATTTGAGACGTAACAATAATTATTTCACGAGTATAAAATGATGAGAAATTTTTTTTCAATTATAATTTCTATATAAAATATAGAAAAAAAATATGTATATCGAGCAATATTAAAGTTATGAGAACAGAAGGTGTTTTCGACAGGTATATTCATTATCTGACTGTCATCTACATTGTTGTTGTTGTTGTTGTTGTTTTAGCATTGCCACTCACTAAACGCGCAATGGTAGCAAACCCCCAAACGAAAGGATGTTTTCAATGCTTTGGTGGTAGAAGATGTTGGTATATAAATGTCTCGAAAACAAGTGCGCCCGAGCATATACAAGAAAGCGAGTGTACGAGCGAGTTTAAATTAAAAATAAATAAATAAAAAAAAATTTTTTTTTTCTATCGGTTCGATTTGCAAATCCGTCAAATAAATTCACAAGTGCCAAAATGAGGGCTTTAATTGTAAGTAAATAATAAGTGACACACGTTTAAAAAAAAATCAACCTCATAATTTATAAATTATATTCAGTGTGTGCTTCAAAAAAAATTTTCACAAATATTTTTTTAATTTCCTCATTTATATATCGTAGAGGAAATGTATTGTGGTTTTTTTTTCTTTTGTGAATTTTGTGGGGTTTTTTTTTATTTCTTTTCCATTAGTACTATTATTTTTTATTATTAGTATTATTATTATTATTATTTATAGTGATGAAAATATATTAGACGGATTTTCTTTTTTATTTCTTCTTTGTTTCGAGTGAATATATAGACTACAATTAATTTGTGTGCGACAATGAGGAAGTGAGAATTGGATTGTCGACTACTATATAATATAAAGCAACAATTTAAAATTGAGTTTTGTAAAAAAAAAAAAATTTTTACTTGAGAAGAAATTCAAAGTGAAGATTATTGTCAATTATAATTGTTATTGTGGATGCGAAAAATTTCACACGTTGAATTGTTACATTTTACTTTTTTATATTATCTTATTTCATTTTTTTTTTTTTTTATTGTTATTATTCCTTTTTATCCACACAGGAAAATGAAACAAAAGAATAAGTATAAATGAAACTAATATTTAAAAGTAATTGTATTTAATTAGTTAATTAATTAATTAATTAATAATAATTATAAAAATAGTAATAATAATAATAATAATTTTCTTTAACATTAGGCATTAATTTAAACAAAAATTCATAAATGAAATTGAAAAATTACTAAATTTTGTTTCTCGACATTTTTTTGACGTAAGTAAGAATTTTTACTTAATTTGAAATTTGAGATATTAATTTGGAATTCTGACTAAATTTATATATTTTATTCTGAGAAAATTAATTATAAAAAAAAATTCATTTAATAATAATAATTGTTATTTTATTAGTTATTATTTAATCAAACAAAACTAATAAAATCGATTCTCTAAATCTGAATTGGTAAAAATTTTAACTCTCATTTGAATTAGTAACTAACTTTTTGCTATGAATTAATATTTTACCAATGAATTAGTAAAAAAGAAATTTTATTAATTGATTAGTAATTATAATAATAATCATAATCATGTAATAATAACTAATTAACAATATAATTAATTAATTAATACTAATAATAATAATAATTATTATTATAAGTAACTCATTGCAAAAAAGTTAATCATTAATTAAGATTAGTTAAAATTTTAGTAAAAATTTAAATATTACTATTAAAAATTGATTTGAAAAATTAATTAAAAACTGAATATTATTTTGAATTAATCATAAAAAATGATTAAGAAAAATTTTTATTTAACTTCAAAATAAAAACGGATTGATTTGTAATCAAATAATGGATTGAAAAAAATTTTATTCTCACAAAAAAAAGACTACTCTAAAATTGAGAATATAATATTGGCTTACATTTATAAATATAATTCATACAATTTAAATTTTATTTTAAATTAAATTTAAATATAATAGCCATCAAAATTATATTCTTAAATTTAGAATATCGTTTTTTTTTTGTATTCCAAATATAAAACGAATAGAATAAAAATTAATTTAAAAATAAATTAAAAATTTTCCCAATTAAGAATATAATTTTAAAAAAAAATTTGTACTATTGAATAAATATATTCGTGTTTAGAAAAATTCAGTTTCATATGATTTATACAAAGCATTTTTTTTGTCTACGTTCAATGCAAATTTTTAAATTTTTAAAATTTAAAAATTTTTTAAATAAATAAATAATTTTTTTGTTTAATTTTATAAGAAATTTGATATTTCGAGAGAAAACTGATGCCAAGGACAAATGAATCGTTTTATAAATGACAAAATTATTGTCATCAAGTGCACCTTGGCATTAAACGTATATATATATACAAAATTACAGGGATGTCGCGCGTTTCAGATTCCATAACTATATCTATAGTGCAATTGTTGCAAAAGATTGTCATTATATTCCAGTATATATGTATATATATATATATATATATATATATATATATATATATATATATATATATATATATAGCCGATCAAAAATAATCTTCGTTTTCTACCGGAAACAATTAACCGCATGTTCAACGTCTTCCTCTCTCTTTCTTTCTCTTTGCCTCTTTCTCTTTATCGTACACAGGTAAATCGCGACCATCAGGTGCTGAATAAAGAACTATCGCTGTGTGTCCAGTGCGCATAGAGCGTTAATCGTCGAAGCGAGTGAGAATCGCGAAAGCGTTAAGGCAACTCAAACCGAAATTAGGAAGCAAATAAAAAAAGAAAAAAAAATATATATATATATAAGAGAAAGCCATACGATGATACCTATGAGACGGTCACTCCTTATCTATTTTCTCACGAATCATCTTGATTATATATATACCTATATGTTCACATCAATTATTTATAACACCTCAGAGTTAGTACATCAACAAAAAGTTGTCGTAAAAAAAAAAAAATGATTCACTACTTCTTCCTTGATGATGACAACTTTTCCTACTTAGGCTTTTAAGGCCTAATCTTGTAAATTAATCTTTCAGTTCCTTTCCCTCATTTAGAACTCATTTTGAAACGTTTTCCTATCTTATATAACAGCTATAACAAACACTATAATATATGGACATGGAAATCCTATTTTTTTTCCAAACTACAATAATTTTCAATAAAAAATTATTTGAAAATTGATTTTAGTAGCTAAAAAATTCGATGAAATTGAAATAAATTTTTCCCTGGAGCAGTGAAAGTGTTTAGCAGTTCCGAATAATTATTTACCCCCCCCCCCCCTCTTTTATTTGTATTATTATTAATATTTTAATTAATATATATATATATATATATATATATATATATATATATATATATATATATATATATATACAATAAGATTATTTTACTAGAGTGAAAAATTGTATTAATTTTTCTATACCCATATATTAAGAGAATGAAATCCATTAAGTAGAAATTTGAACTCGACTTACGTAAGAAATAATAATAATAGCGAAAAAAAAAAAAAAAAAAAAAAAAAAACATACACAAAAGTGTAAAGAAAATATGTTGAATAACATTTAGCAATTATTATATTCTATATTCATATTAAGAAAATTCGTGTGATTAGATCACGTTTTTAAATTACGTCATCAGTTCCATTTTATGCGAGGGGAAAAAAAAATAATAAGTTTCCAATTTCCGTTTCCTATATTCTTAATTCTCTTTTTGACTTAATCTCAAACTAAAAATTTATTATCATCATATTAAAATTAATTTTACTTTTAATTTTCAAAAAAATTCATTTATTCCAAAAACCAATTTTTACAAAAATTGGAATTTTTTGTAAATAATAATTTAGTTTAGTTTGAGATTGTCGCAATTTTTAGGGTTTCAGTTACTTACTATGGCAATAGTTACTATGGCAAAAGTTATTATGGCAAAAGTTACTATGGTAACAGTTACTTACTACGGCAATAGTTACTATGACAATAGTTACTATAGCAAAAGTTACTATGGCAATAGTTACTATGGTAACAGTTACTTACTATGGCAATAGTTACTATGGCAAAAGTTACTATGGTAACAGTTACTTACTATAGCAATAGTTACTATGGCAAAAGTTACTATGGCAAAATTTACTATGGTAACAGTTACTTACTATGGCAATAGTTACTATGGCAAAAGTTACTATGGCAAAATTTACTATGGCAAAATTTACTATGGTAACAGTTACTTACTATGGCAATAGTTACTATGGTAACAGTTACTATGGTAACAGTTACTTACTATGGCAATAGTTACTATGACAATAGTTACTATGGCAAAAGTTACTATGGCAAAATTTACTATGGCAAAATTTACTATGGCAAAATTTACTATGGTAACAGTTACTTACTATGGCAATAGTTACTATGGCAAAAGTTACTATGGCAAAATTTACTATGGCAAAATTTACTATGGTAACAGTTACTTACTATGGCAATAGTTACTATGGTAACAGTTACTATGGTAACAGTTACTATGGTAACAGTTACTTACTATGGCAATAGTTACTATGACAATAGTTACTATGGCAAAAGTTACTATGGCAAAATTTACTATGGCAAAATTTACTATGGCAAAATTTACTATGGTAACAGTTACTTACTATGGCAATAGTTACTATGGCAAAAGTTACTATGGCATAATTTACTATGGTAACAGTTACTTACTATGGCAATAGTTACTATGGCAATAGTTACTATGGCAAAAGTTACTATGGCAAAATTTACTATGGTAACAGTTACTTACTATGGCAATAGTTACTATGGCAATAGTTACTATGGCAAAAGTTACTATGGCAAAATTTACTATGGCAAAATTTACTATGGTAACAGTTACTTACTATGGCAATAGTTACTATGGTAACAGTTACTATGGTAACAGTTACTATGGTAACAGTTACTATGGTAACAGTTACTATGGTAACAGTTACTATGGTAACAGTTACTATGGTAACAGTTACTATGGTAACAGTTACTATGGTAACAGTTACTATGGTAACAGTTACTATGGTAACAGTTACTATGGTAACAGTTACTATGGTAACAGTTACTTACTATGGCAATAGTTACTATGACAATAGTTACTATGGCAAATGTTACTATGGCAATAGTTACTATGGTAACAGTTACTTACTATGGCAATAGTTACTATGGTAACAGTTACTATGGTAACAGTTACTTACTATGGCAATAGTTACTATGGCAAAAGTTACTATGGTAACAGTTACTATGGCAACAGTTGATTTCCGCAACAACCGTTTCCATAGTAACCATAGCAATTCACAAATAATGTAATTATAAATTATTTATTATATTCAAATAACTGTTGATCTGAATTTAAAAAGCCACGAAACCTTAGATGTAGGCGCTGTGCGCCTGCTTTTTTTTTTTATTAAATATTATAAATAAGAAATAAAATCACTCACCCCTTTTTTTTTTTTTTTTGGAAACAGGTGTTGCTTTTGACGTGGGCATATTCGGCATCGGCAAGACCGGAACCACCATCATCTTATTTTCCACCATCCGGAGGCGGCGGTGGCGGTGGTTATCCATCATCAATAGGCGGAACAGGTAGCGGTGGAAGTTATGGTCCACCACCAGTGCAACCATCCTCGAGTTATGGACCACCGCAACGACAACCTGTTATTCATAAACATGTTTACGTTCATGTACCACCACCTGAGGCACCTGAATATAAAGCCCCAAAATACATTGCCCCCGCTCCAGCTCCACAAAAACATTACAAAATTGTATTTATAAAGGCACCAACACCTCCAACACCAACGGCACCGGCACTACCACCACTACCACCTCAAGATGAGGAGAAAACATTGATTTATGTCCTCGTCAAGAAACCCGAAGAAGCACCGGAAGTTATTCTTCCCACACAGGCACCAACTCAACCCAGTAAACCGGAAGTCTATTTCATTCGATACAAAACTCAGGTACCTCTTTTTTTTTTAATTTAATTTTTTTTTTTTTTTCTTTCAAAGTTTAGCAAAAATATTAAATAGAAAAATTACGACCATCATAATGTTAGGTAATAAAAATAAAAAAAAATAATAATAATAAGTCTTTCTAGAAGTTTACTATTCTTTTTTATAATAACCCATTTATAATGGTTGTTAATTTTTGCAATTTTATAACAACATAAAATTTTTTTTCTGTTAAAGAAGAATCGAACAAAAATTTAGTCACCGTTATAATATGAAATATTTAAATAAAATAAGAATTTCATATTGTTTCAATACGGATCTAATTTTCTTTTAAATAATTATTTTTTTTATAGAACCTTGTGAAATTTTCAAATTTTTTTTTTTTTTTTTTTTATCAATGCAAAAAAATTTACCTTTTTATTTTAGAAGAAAACTTTTCCACTGGGAATACTTTCGAATATTCATTTATCTGTCGCTCAATTCAAATTTCTTTCAACTCCATTTCGAATCTGAAATATTTTGAAAACAGAAAAATTTATAAATAAAAAAATATTTTCTTAAAAAAAATAGGGGAATGATGAATTCCAAAAAAATTTGTAATAATAAAAATAACAGTTAAATAATAATAATGATAATAATATTATTATTATTAAAATAATAATTATTTATTAAAATAATAATTATTAAAAACAAAGGGACTTATATCAAAAAACGAATAAAAAAATTATCTTATTTTTAAAGTGAAATTTTTTTTTTCTTGCAGAAAGAGCAGCAAAATACGGAATATGGTCCACCACCTGCTTCAGTACCAGTTGATAGTTACGGACCACCAAGCAGTGGTCCTTACTAAAAATTATAGAATAAAAATGAGGGACCATAAAAAAAATAAATGTACTGAAAAGGTACTTTTATACTCAGTATAAGAAACCAAAATGTCATTATTTTTGATTTTAATTTAAATTTGTCTTCTAAATAATAGTGATTAAGAAGAATTCGTTTTATTTAAATGGAATTAATTTTTTTTATTTACATTTTTGAAAAAAAAAAATTTATTCCATTCATTATACATATATTTTTTTAATAATTAATAAAGAAATTTAATTAATTTTTTCTAATCAAAAATATTGAAGACAAAAATACATTTTGGCCTCAGACTGAAGTACTCGAAATTATGTGAGACTAAAAACTGTACATAAATTAGCAATTATGAGGGAATAATTATTGTATATGTAATCAATCATCACAAACGTTATATAATATACATGTTCATTATTGTGTCATTGGATGATTTTGTTAATCGATATTCATTTTATAATTTTTGTGCTCTATGCACAAAGTGCATTTTTTTTATTTTTATACAAAGAAAAAACATGTATACGTATAGGAATTTTTAATAAAATATTTTTTTTTTTATTTTTCTACAGCCTCTTAGTTATAGAAAATTACATTTTATACTTTTTTTTTTAATTTAAATAAAAACAGCAAATAATGCAAACAATGTTTCTTCTATTTTTTATTTTATACCCAAAAATAAACTTCTTTGAATAAATAAGAAGTTTTCCTAAAGAAAAAAATTTGCGAAACAAAATTTTTTTTGATGAAATAAATAAAAAATTAGTTTTTTGTAAAAAAAATAACTCATATTTTTATAAATGTTATTTAATAATAGAGAAATACATTTCAAATAACAAAATAAAGTTTATTATAATAAAAATTAATAATAATGACAAAAACATTGTTTAAAAAGTTTCAGACATACATTTCTTTTTTATACAAATAAAGTAAATAAAAAATGTATCAATGAATAAAAACCTCTTTTAAACCATTTTTTTTTTTTTTTTATTAAAATACACTTCTTTTTATATTTGTATGTATATATAAAGCAGAAGTACTTTACGTAGAAATAAAACAGGATTATTATAATTATACTATTAGTACTTCAATAAAAAAAAAAAAATTAGTCAAGTGTAAGATACAAAATTTCTTATAAAAAATTAATTAAACATTTAAATATTAAATTTCTAATAAAACAAAAAATAAAATTAGTTAACAATTCTTTATTTTAGTACTAGAAAAAAAAATTAAATAATTTTTAATAATAAAAATTATTAAAAAAGAATTAAGTTATTTTGTATCTGACACTTTATCAACGTAATAAGTCTAAAACTTTGTTACATTATTATTATTATTAATATTATTATTAGATAAATGTTGACTTTATTTTGTCTCAAAGAATCTGCGACTTTGAGGCACACATTCTCATTCCTACACACGCGCCTTTGCGCTCACGCTATCATATAAGACTACAAAAAGAAAAATTAAATTTTTCACTAAAGTGTTTTTGAATCAATGCTCCAACTAAAGAAATTATTTTTAACATAAAACAATTTTTTTTTTATTAAAATTTAACATAAAAAAATTCAGAACTTAAAAAAGGAATTTATATTTAAAAAAAAGCAATTAATATTCGATAAATTATTTTAACATCTTAAATAATGAATCAAAATTATTTGTAACTAAAAACAAATTTAATAAATTGTATCGAATACAATTGAAATATAAAGGAAAAAAAAATATTTAAAACTTTAATATGATAAAAAAAATGTTTTTTTTTATCATAGGTAACCAATTTATCTGCGAGCAATTATTATTATCATCGTAAATTACAATATTCTAATGGTATGAAACTTGATCTCTTTCTCTCTTTCTTTGTCTTTTTCACAACCTTATGTACATTTTCTTTTTTTTTAAATATAACTCTTCTGTGTCGATGTCGCCAGAATGCGGCAGTTGTTTTAAAGCTAATTTCCTTATATCCAAAAAGATTGGCTGGTTGTTAATATTTTACAAAAGTTTCAGCCAAGTATCTAGTTTAAAAAAGTTGTACAGTCATGATTATCAATACAGTCGTCACTGTATTAATAAGATAATTACAATTTTATAGTTCAATACAGTTTTCATTATTTTAATCTTTCAATTTCCATTATTTTTATTTGAAAAACTCTCCGAAATTCTTAACGAGAAATTTTTTTTTCACTTTTCCTACATTCATTTCTTTAAAACTACTTCACTTTTGAAATTTAAACAATTTTTCCAATTTTAAAGAAAATTTTTTCCATATTTCGGAACATTTTTAATTTATAAATTTTTCAAACTAAAAATTCTTTTTTTAAAATGCAATGAAAAAATTAATAAACAGATTTTAAATCCACTTTTTTTTCCCTATATCATTCATTTTATTCTCTAATTGAGATTTTTTTTTTAATTAATTATTTGTCAATAATTAAATTGTTCAATTAATTTTCTATTTCTATTCTATTCGGATTTTTCTTTTTTTTAAATGATATATATCTCATTTAAATCCGAAAACATGTATATAATAACTCTGTAATTGGACTGCACGAAGACAAGAAAGTATAAGTTTTTAAAAAAAAAAGAAAAGAAAAAACAAGTATCAGTCTTCGATATCACGGAACTACCTTTCATCTAAAATGTATCTTTCATAAGATACATTAAAATTGATGAGGACGAAAAAGACTTTATTTTAGTGCACATTTTTTATCTACTGCTCGCTAAGTAATAAAAATCGAATCCCATTTTTTTTTTGAAGAATATTCCCCCCAAAAGAAAAATTCAATTGTACCTCGTATTTATCCGTCCAAAAATTTGTGTTCTTTTTTTTTTTTTTTCTTTTTACATCTTTATTCTTGATGCGATCTGGGACGACTTTGACGAATGGCTTTTTTAATAAAAGGTGCGAGTAAAGGATAACTAAAGAATATCACATGACCACAATAATATATGCTGCCATACACCTGCATATATTTTGGATACGAAAGGTAGACAAAGGGTACGATCGCGTAACCCATGAAAATTAAGGTATAAACCTTTAAAAGAATCCAAAACGCAAACCTTGCAACAAAATTTTCTTTAACCAGTAGCTGAAGTTGTTCATGCTTTTTCAAAACTGGTACCATCTGTAAAAAAAAAAAAAATGTTTTCCAATTTTTCTTATAATTGAATCTATAAATTATGTGACACATTTTTTTCAGATTCTTTGAATAAAAAATAAAAAATTTAAACTCTCCAAATATCGGTTACTTAATTTATAGATTAAAATTTATTTAATTTTAATAAATAAGAAAAAAAGAAGCTTACGTCTTTTTCAAAGTACATAATAATGAACTCCATGATAAAACACATGTAATAACCAGAATGGAAGCCGTGCCATACGGCAAGGAAGGCAAGAGTTGCTATTTGACTATAAAGCTTCGATCCAAGGAATTTGAGTCTCTTGTAAACATATTCTGCACTCCAATGATTTGTATTAATATTAAATGATTGAATATAATGATCATATTGAGTTGCATTCTCAAATGTCAATAATTCAACATTTGCACAGCCATCCCATTTTAAATTACCGGAAGAATCCTTTCCATTGTATGTCAATCCAAACGCTGTACATACCTGAAAAAGAGAAAAATTAATTATTAAAGCAAATATTAAAACATTGATTATTTTAAAATTTATTATTTTATTTAACGATCATACAACACACATACATTGTTTCTTTTAGAAATTTTATTATTATTATACTACTTTGATGATTACAATTTCAAATCGATATTTTAAAAAGAAAAAATTTAGCGTTAAATTCTAAATGTTTTATAAAATTAATAGATTGGCATTTTTAATAAAAAAAAGATGTTGTTTGTATAGTTAAAAAAAATTAATCACAAAAAAAATAATAACGTACATACCTTGGAAAAAAAGAAAATAAATCAGTTTATAGTCTATTTTCTTGTTACTATTTTTTTTATATAAATAAAAAATTAAATCATTCTTACATACCTTGTTAAATAAATAAAAAAAAAAATTAAATCATTCTTACATACCTTAGTTAAATTTGCCGTAAAAATTTTCAAAGCAATAAAAAAATACGTGTGAATATATTTTTTTTTCGCATTACTACTTCTAGATTTTTTTCTTCTTTTACGTTCATTCAGGGTTTAATCACAATTTGTCAGTACACAACAAACAAACAACATTTGCTCAAAACAAATATTCACACTGATTAAGAGATCAACAGACAAACAGAAATCTCTTGAGGACAATTTTATTACAATTGTCAAAAAAAAAAAATTAAATTAAACATAATATGCATCAGCATATTAGCATCATCATTATCATTATTATTATTATAATATTATTATATAGAAGAAGAAAAATTATAATTCAATAAAGAAATAAATTTCCAAAAATTGTTATTAAAATTTACCAATACCAAATTTTAGGATTTATATGTATTTAAAATTGGTTAAAAATTGAATTTAATTTATAATTTACTTCTTCTAATAAAGTTAAATTAATACTGCAAATTATTGTACTCACTCCTTCGGTCATAAGCCAGCAACTGATGTATTTATATAAATTAATACGACCCCATATTCCAACACTAAAACAACGTTGAACGAAATTCAAATTTTCAAAATTTGAGCTCAACAAATACTTTTCAGGGAAGAATTGATTTCCAATTTGATAAAACGCCAAGTAAACAAAACCAAGAGATGAACGTTGAATACCAGGAATTATGCAATCTGGCAAACTTTCACTATTTCCACTCTGAAAAATGAGACAAAATTATTATTTATTTCTTTTATTTTTAAATTATTTGTTTACTATCTTTTTTTTCAAATAATTTATTAATTAATAATAATTTTTTTTTAAATATTCTTTTCTTACCTTGTTAATAAGACGATTGTTGACGTAATCTTGATATCTTTTCATACTAAATTGAGGACCAACTAAAAATGATCCTGGGAAGAAGGAGAAAGCCGCAATTTCCAATAAAGTCGGATGTTCTTTGATTGCGGTTTGTTTTTGAAATGCAGACAATTCACTCTGTAAAATTGAAAAACAAAATTATGAAAATAAAAATTATTTCATTTGAGAAATCTCAAATATTTTAATATAATTTATTTTTAATTTTGATTTTAATACTCACATCAGGTTTTGAACCATCCCATACGTTAAAGGAAAGACCAATTAATCTAAGAGCTAGTACACACTGTGGCATGGTCCATTTAATATCATAATCTTCTGTGCTTGTAGTTAAATAACCTGTAAAAAAAAGAAATACAAGAATTTTTCTTTTTTGTAATTTAAATAATCTTCAATGAAACTTACCGTAAAATAAATAAGCCATGTTGAATAAAAAAGATGCTTGAACGCATTGTTTTGTACTACCAAGTCTTTTAATGATTGCATAAGTAACACAGACTGTAATTATCGGATGAAGTATACTCCAACCTGGAAATTAAATATTTTTAAAATACAAATTCAATAATGACATAAGTTAAAAGAAAATATTAAATTTTTTTTTTTCTTTTCACTTACCGTAATTCCAAAAGCCCAGCAATACTCCACAAATGATAAAATATAAATGTTGATTAATCGGATCTTGACCATAAAGTGTATACCTATGTATTAGAGCTAATGGAAAACCTGCAAGAAAAAAATTAATTAGAAAAAAAAAAATACAAAAGTTTATAATAAAGATAAATTTAAATGAAATTAAAAAATTAACAAAACTACAATTTAGATAATATTTAAAACTACTAAATTGAATGCATAAAGTATTAAACAAAATTACTAGTTCATAACATTTTTTTTATCAGTAAAATAGTGATAATGTTATATCTTTCATAAATTGATTATTCAACTCGAAACAATTGATAAAAACAAAATGAAGACAAATGGAAATAATTATAAAAATTAGAATATTGTTTAAAGTATTGAGTTCAATGAACTTTTTCTCGCTAATTTATATGTGTAATAAAAAATAAAAATACATGAATCACTACTAGGGCATTCTTAAATTTATTATGGCTTCTTCTTGGTGCTCTACATATTCATTTTAATGAAATTTATACAGTCAATATAATCCCACAAATAAAAGCTAATAAAGATGAAACAAAAAGGGAGTGAAAAATTCAATATCGTTCGATAAGTACTGCTTTTAAAAATAGACATAACATTATCTTTTTTTAAACGAAAACCTATATTAATTTATTGAATTAAAATGTAAACTAGAATAAAATTGTTAACTATTTAAATAATTTTCATTTAATAATTATTAAAACTTATTTTGTTTTCTATTTTTATAATATTCCATTGTTTGTACAATTTTTGATAAATAAAAATATTACTACTTATTCATGAAAAATTTGTTTCTTTATAAATTTTTTCTAAATTATCACTATTTTATTTTTCATTATTATTTATCTGTAAATGTTTTATAGTCCCCTTGTAACATAAAAGACTCAGTTTCTTTCTTTAATGTTAAAAATATATTTCTAAGTTTATACGCGCAACTAAAAATAATCGTAAAAAAAATTTATCAAGACAATTTTACATTGACATTTAGATTAAAACGTACTATTTTCACTCTGTACTAATAGAAAATAATTATACGAATCATTGATACCATAAATGATAAAAGAAAGCAACTGGTTTTCTATTATAGAACAAACTTTAATAGATATATGTGCTATATATAAAAAACGAAGAGAAAGGTTATAAATATAACAGATACAATGTTTAAAACATTGTAATATTGTAAATCATATGATTTAACATATAATAGACTTGGAATTACATTTTAATCCTATCTAATGAATTCTTAGTGAAAGTAATGAATTATCAATGAAAAATTGGAAAATGTATGACAGAATATATTGATAATTTGTTTTACCTAAGAGAATAGAGATGAGAAGACAAAGAGCATCCTCTGGAGCACCAACTAATGCCGATAATTTAGCGAGAAAACCACTTGAATTTTGTGTTAAGCTGGCCATTTTTGTTGCAGGTGTTCAGTAATGCACAGCATGCGCGGTCTTAAAACAATGCTCCTGAAGTTAGCACATCTAACTAAATTCTCCGATGTTGTGATCTTTAACTTTTACACACACTGGAATAAAAATAAATAAACTGGAATGGAAATTTAGCAGAGGTTCCAAGCAAGGATGGAATACTAGAACAACTTGTTTCGATAGTTATCGAAACTTCGATATATATGAAACCACGCTTTCTCATTGGTCGGTAAACTTTCCGGAAATATTACCGACCAATAAAACTGATTTTTATATATCGAACTTTACAATCGATACTCTGAACTAAACTGAGGGCGCCACTTTCTTGGCGGCAAAATTTATCTTTTGAATTTGAAATTTTTTTTTTAAATTAATTTTCTTTACAGTTATTAGGATATTTATTCTTAGATCAAAAATGAATAAAAAAAATGATAAATAAATGGATATTGCAGAAAATAGTTAATTAAAGGATAGAGGAAAATTTATTATTTAAAAATACTAATTTTTGCTAATTTAAACTATAAAAAATTTTCCGCAATATCTAAACAATTTTAAAATCGATGGAAATTTTGGAGCAAAATAATTCATTCAAGGATAATCGAAAAGGACATCGTGTGTAATTGACTTTCAATTTCGTTCTCGATAATCGTTATTGTCATATTCTAATTTAATCACAATTTCGGAGGGGCTATTTGTATGTATTAAATTTCGAATTCTGCGCCGGAGAATATCGACCGCAACTTGGTGGAGTGGAGAAAGCAACAGGAAAAAGGTTTGTGAATGCGCGCGAGTTTAGTTCCAATGTAACATTCACGACGAGAAATTATTACGAAACCGGTTCTTTTTTCTAAATTTAAAAGACAAATATTTCTAAAAGCGAAAGAGTAAAGAATTATAATAGAGAAATATTTTTGAGATTTATAATACGACGAAAAAAAAGAGAGGGAGTGCAGTTTCGCATCTTAATTGATAAAGAATTTCACATGACGTTGCCTAATTATTAAGAACAAGTGGTTCTCACTGTCCTCTCGTCGAGTATTCTTCAAATATCACATATAACGAATAATATTATTATTGAATCTGCGCATGATACAGTTAAACCTTATCATTACCGTCCAAAGTCTTAATCAAAATCGCATTTGATAAGAACCGGCATATTTTTTTATTTTATTATTAATCGTGCTCTATATACTTTATAAGTGAAATTCACAGTTTGATTTTTTTTGGAGAAAATTTTTTTTGACAAAAAGGGACCAAAAATGCCGACTTCTATTTTAATACAACATATAAATACTGGAATTTTGACCGCCTGTTTAGTTGGATCGGCACTTTCTTATTACGCCTATCATGTTGAAACTGCAAAAGAATTGGATAAATCGTACAAGCCCTTTTGTGACATCAGCGAACACGTCAGCTGTACGAAAGCATTTATGTCTGTGTAAGTTATTTCTTTGTATATACACGAATTGATATATATTTGTATTATTTTTAAAATCGACTTCACAATCATTCAAGGTTAACGGATAATTAATTCATAATTAAATTATTTCTATTTTTGTAAATCTAGTCGAATTTAGTTATATTATTGGGTTAAATATTTAAATTAAATAAATTATTACAAAAACAATTAATGAAATTGTATTAAAAATTTTTTTAAATTAAAAAAATATAATTTTTAATAAAATTCTTAAAACAATAATTACTAATTTTTTACTATAAATAAAGAACATTGTATTTCCTAATATCGTAAACAAATTCCAATTTTTAGATAAAAAATAGTTAAATTAATATAACAGAAAAAAATTAATTAGTATTATTTAATTATTAATTAATTTAACTTGAATTCACATTTTATTGCAAAAAATTTTGAGATTTGTTTACTATTGTAAAATGTTGATTTTATGATAAAACGAGGTAAAAATTTGTACTTTTATCATTTATCTGTTACAAAAATAGAATATCATTACGTAGATTGTAACACATTTCACATTAACCCAAATATTACTTATCATTTCAAAAAAAAAAAAATTGATTATGTTTAATAAGATGTGTAATTTAAAAAATTTTTCAATTACAGATATGGAAAAGGATTTGGATTGGTTTCTGAAGACTCTGTATTACATGTTCCAAACAGTATTTTTGGAGTTTTGTTTTATACACTAATCGCTATATTAAGTAAGTAAAAATTCAAAATTTTTTTTTTAACAATGTTCATCTCTTTTTATAGTAGAAAATTAATAATTATATATTGTTAAACAGAAAAATTAATAATTATTTTTTTAATACAAATTCAATAATTATTTTTTTTCACAGAAAGTAATAATCATTAATTTTGTAATTAAAAAAAAAAAATAATTAATAATTTTTACCTTTTTTTTTAACAGGTTTTTTCAATCGACAACCATATACGGGAATATCAGTGATTTTGGGACTATTTGCAAATCTCAGCTCAGTCTATCTCTCTTTAATTTTATACTGGTTAAATGATATTTGTATAGTTTGCATTTGCACTTATATTGTAAATCTTGCAATTGTACTATTGACATTTAAAAAGATACAAATCTGTTCGGCGGAAATTGCGAAACGAGAAAAAACGAAAAGAAACGCTGCAACGACAGAAAAATCGAAAAAACATACAGATTAAATTTGTATATTTTTATTATTTATAATAATCAACTCAAATTAAACAATAAACATTTCGTATTTTTCGTTGATTTTTTTTTCAATCTAATATAAAAACTAATATTTTAATGACAACAATAAAAATTGAAAGACCTCTACGACACATTCAAGTGTGTAAATAAAAATTCTTTTATGAAAATTAAAATTATTTATAGAAATTACTTATACTATATATATATATATATATATATATATATATATATGTGTAAAATTAAGTGGATTGTATAAAAATTATTTTAGTAATAACGGCAATAATTATTTTACAAAATAAAAGAAGAAATTATCGACTAACTTTATTATTTTACAAATATGGAAAATGTGAAAGTTGTCGACTATTTTTATTATTTTACATATTATATTAATTTAAAACTAAAATAAAAATTTATTTAAAGGATAATTTATGCATTTTTAAATTAGTTGATCAAAAACTTAGGTGATAAGAAATTATTATTAAAAATTTTAAATTCGACCTGAGAAAGAATGTTATTCAAAAACCCGTGTGTGAATCTATTTTTCAATATTTTTTTTTTTTTAAATTAACATGCGAAATATACAATGCTAATTAGCGAGAATCTTAAAATATGGCATCTGTTCAATAAAATTTTAGAAATTAATAAATAAAATTAAAATATTAATTTTCAATTTTAACATTTTTAAACATTTGTTTCAATTTTATATTAATTTCTTTAAAACCTCAATTGAGAATTTCTTTTTTAACAATGTTGAAATGTATAAATAATGTTCTTTAAAATCAATTTAATTTTTAAAAATCATGTTTGCCATTTTTAAAGAGATCCCTGTTACTACGACTGATACTGGCTAAAATTCCAGGACTTTTCAAAGGTGGAGTTTCGTCTAATCGATTTAATTGGGAATTTGATTTATAATGCGTACTTGGCGAATAACGATCAGAATAATTCCTGTTGGCTTCAACATTAAATGATTTGCTACGAGAGAGCGACGATTTATAAGTTCTGTCAGGTTTTGTTGGACCTTGAACAAGAGTTTGAACTGGTTTTGGATGACCCACATTGTTCTTAAAAGAAATGTTTATCATGCTTCCATATCTTTGAGGATGACCAAGTTTAGATGACAGCAAACTCCCGAACCTTGACTCATTAAAACCATTTCCATTTCTGATCTCTAAATGATTATTTCCATTATTCCTAATCTCCAAATGACTTCCATTTCTAATCTCGTTCAAATGATTACCATTTCTCATTTCTAAATGATTATTTCCATTTCTCATTTCCAAATGATTCACACCATTTCTCATCTCTAAATGATTACCACTTCTAATCTCGTTCAAATGATTTCCATTTCTAGAATCATTTTTTGTTTTAGATTCGTTCAAATGATTCCTGGAAATTTGTCGTCTACGCTCGGAAGTGTGAAGCTTCCTGGGCAAAGTTTGAGTGGTGCGAAAATGTTCTTCCCTCTCATATTCACTGGACAAGCGACTGGTGGATTTGCTAAAGCGGCCCAAAGAATTTGACTCGACACTGAAATTTATGAATGGTACTTTCGGATACGACTTTTTTTTTGGGAAATTTCGTAGCAATGATTAAACAGCATTTAAAAAAAAAAAAGAAAAGACAGGTGAGTCAGCTTTTGAGTCTACTGATAATTGTGAGGCTTACTCGAAAATAAACGACTGCTCGTTTCAGGCAGAAAAGGCTCAATGTCACTGGATCTCTTTCGAAGCGAAGGCCCTCGATCTAACACCAAACAGAACCAAGTCACCAAAGTTTATCCAAAAAAAAAAAATTACTACGAAATTTCTGCATGCTTGTTATTTGCCAAAGCAATGATTCATTGTTACCTAATTAATTTATGAATTATTATAGTTTTTAATTTTTGGAATTCAATTTTCTTCGACATTTTGAACTTTTTATTGTCAATGTAATTTAAAATCAGATATTTCTCCAAAAATTTTGTCTCCATTTTTGAAACTCTTCGAGAAAAAAAAACACTTTGTTTCTTTTAGAAAAAATTTGATTCCTCAAAGAAAATTGAAATTTTGATTTCAAATTAAAATGATTCATGATTAATTAATAATTTCTCCAATATTTTTTATAAAAATTTTTTAACATTGGATATTTTTCATTTTATCAATATTTTCCAGAGAAACATTAATCAAGAATTATTTTGGAGAAAAAAGAATGAGTTTGCACTTTCTAATGAACAGTTTGTATATGATCTGTATAAAAATCAGAGAAAAGATCTCTAACATTAAGTTTTCAAGTCATGACTGATTCACTCTTTCTTCCCACGATTTTTTTTTTTTTTTTTTTTTTTTGTATGAATCTTTGAACATTAATCTTAATTTGTTATCTTTAAAAGACTTTCTAAGGATTTAATTATGGTAAAATGTAAAAGATAGCCTTTTGAAAAAATGAAGCATTATTTTTGAATTTTCATACTTTTTAAGGAAAAAACAAACAAATGAAGAAATTCATTTGATTTTTAGAATAATCAGAGATTTTTACAGGCTCAAAATTTGAGAAGCAAAAAGGAAAAAAGCGACGGATATTTTGAATTAAAAATGACGTTTTTTTTAACGAAATAAGACAAAGAGAGATAGAAAGAGAGAGAGAGAGAGCAAAAAATGTTAGTTAAAAAAAACCAAATGAATAAAATTCGCCCTTGAATGAATGGAACTGATATTTGTTATTTCTTACCTGTATTCAGTCTCAATTCCCGATTTCCCAGACGTTCGATGTCTACCATGTGGTTTTGAATTTTCGTATCCTTTTTCTTTTCCATAAATACTTCCTCCAAAGGGATCTTCACCTAAATAATACCTTTGGACAAAAAATTCACCTTCAAATTATTTAGATTTTCAAAAATTAAAAAATAGAAATTAATTCATAAATAAATTCGATAGAATAATTTTAATAAATAAACTAAATTGATAGATTTAAAAATAGACTAACCTTTGAACAGGAGGTACAGATTCATTTCGATGCCATTGTTCCTTTGAATTATAATCATTCATTTTTGTTGTTTTAATATTATGAGACACTGGAGTATTATTTCTTGGAGAACGTGGTGGTCTTTCAGGTGGTTTATCCTCTAAATCATAATCCGGACCAAGTGGAATATTTTTATCAACACTATTGTATTGCATATATGTTGGAGTGTCGTCCGTTTGTGTTACTTGTGATGTTGAACTGCCGCTTTTCTTATTTTTTCTCTCTGTACTTGCCGAACGTAATTTGCCAACTAATTTTCTAAAAGATTCTCCAATTTTGTATTTCGATTGTCCAGAGGCTGGAGAAAATTTAAATGAATTAATTAAATAGTTGCAAATAAATTCAATATGTTAATGATATAATTAAATGATAAATTTTTTTTTCTTTTGATACCAACATTTAGGAGATCGAGTGTTTTCCTGTTCAACGATTTTTCTTTCTTTTTTTGGAGAAGTCGCTCTGGGAATAGGTGAAATTGATCGTGATCTTGGTACATATATTGTCTTCGGTTTAACTTCTGGACTTGGTTTTCGAATTTCTCGATCGAGTTTTTGATTTTGTACATCTTTACTGCGACTTTCCCAAGTTCTTTGTACCACTAGTACTGGACTTGACGTCCTTCCCGTTGACTCGTAACTAGATTTTTCCTCTGATTTCTTCTTTTTTTTCCATGGAAAATTCAATTTTTTCAAATTAATATCAATTTTTTTTTTAAAATAAATAGTAAGGAAAGAATTTAATTTTTTACCTGCTCTCGAACTCTTCTTCGAAGTGGCGGTGAAGGAGCTCCATTTCTCTGATGTTCCAATGGCTCTTGTCTCTCCTGATGTCGTTTCGACTCCAATGTTCTAGAATACGATTCAACATGATTTCTCGTATTGTCCGAAGTAAAACAATTATTATTTGACTTTCCATTTATATACTGATCGGGCGATGAGGTTCTCACATGATTATTTTTCTCTGGAATTTAAAAAATAATTATCAAAAACAAATGAAAGAATTATTTTTCATCGAGTAGTTGAGAATATTTTTTTAATCATTACCCTGATGTCTTTCGGACCATTCGCTAATTCCTTGAAAATATCCAACTGGAGAGGAAGAATCACGACCTGAGGTACGACGAGGTGGACGACTAGAGTTTGAATTCTGAAAATCCCTTTCTCTTGTGTTGCATGATTTCATTGTTACGTTGATGAAACTAGTATTGGTGCCAGTATGAATTGGAGGCTCATCATCGATAGAGCCGTGAGATGATCGTGAATCACTTCCAAAATGACTCTCAAGCCATTTGGAAGTTTCAAATTTTCTCGCCTCATCTTCTTCCTCCAGATCCAGAGTCTTTTTCGTCAAAGCATCTTTTCTGGAAGCTGGAGTTCCTTCTGCCGGGGATCCTACACAAATTTATTGTTTAATTTTTAAATTTTAATTTCTATCTTTTGTTTATTATTTATTTAGTACATTTATTTTTAAAAAAAATAAAAAAAAATTATGTTTCCACTGCAAGAAATTAAACAAAAAAGTAATAATAATTAAAAATATTTTCTGACCTTGTTTATGAAGACGATGAGTACGCATGGTGCTCGGCGGAGGAGGCCAATCTCCAATTCGTTCACCTTCTGTCGTTTCTGAGACGTAGCGCATTTCTCGCGCGATCCTTTCTCCACCTGAGACGTAATCAACAATATCCTCGTCTCTTGTTTTCACGAATCTCTGAAAGCTCTCCTTTCTAGTCTCCGATGCATTATCCCCATTGCCTTCCTTTCCGTCTGGTACCTCGTCGTCCTTGATCTAAGGATGATATTTCACGTACATATATCATATTTTCTACATTATTATTGATCAATAAAATATATTTTATATTTACATGAGTAAATAAAATTTAAGAAAAGAATCCCGCATGTTTTTTTTTTGAATAAATTTCAATTTTCACAAAAATATGAAAAAAAATCAAAACAAATTTATTTTTTAATAATCTCAGACAAAAAATAAAAAAAGCAAAAATGATCGAAAGTAGAAAAAATTTGAGTGAAAAAAAAATGCAAAAGAAAAGAAATCGAAATGTTTCAAGAATTCATCGGAGCAAGAAATGAATGAGTCTTGTTTCATGAATGAAGTTGGAGAAAATTTCATTGAGCGATTATTTTTTTCCGAATCACAAAATTCAAATTTTGGGTGCAAAAAATTATTGTTTTATAATTTTTATAATAAATGAAAAATTACCTCTTCGTGTTCGATGGTTTTCTTCTTTTCGGTGACGATCTGTCCGTTTGCTTTGAGTTCACTTCTCTCGAGCGTTGTCTCAGTGTCGACGACCTTGTTCGACCTCGTCGTGTGGTGCACAACTCGAGGTCCAGTTTGTGGAGCAAGCTGCTTCGAGGATTCCGCCAGAGCAATTCTCAGATCGCCCTTATTGCTCCGAATTGCCTGCAGGTAAGCCTGAAAAATAAATACAATTTTTTTTTTCTTTTAAATTCTTATCTAATCTATTTCAAGTTTTTTTAAAAAAAAATTTAAATTTTTTTCCATGTAAATTCAAATAGTTTTTTCCATCTTTGAGAAAAAGATTGTTTTTTTTTTAAACTGGATATTATACGTAAGAGTATAATTTATCTAGTAATTTTTGCAAGGATAAATTCGTGTACTATAAAAAAAGTAAATAAATTGGTTTCAGTGGAAACAGACCGATTCATATTGCAACAATTTCCCTTTTAAATTTGCTTCAAAGACTTAAAGTTTTCACTCACCTGGGTATAATCAACTTTAAAACAAAAGACAATTGGTTACTTTTGTTTCCAATTTAAGTTAATTTCAAATGAGTCTAATTTTCTCAATGTCAGTATCTATATTATTCTTTTACTATCTTCTAATAATAGAGGTTCCATTTTTCAAAAGGATAAATTTCCAATTATCAGAGCGACAACAATTCATATAAAAATAACAACATTTCAAATAGAACAAAAAAAATTTCCCTTTTTCAAAATCAAAAATTTCAATTCGAAAACATTACAATTAAAAATACTAAAAAAAATATTCATTCAAGAATTTATAATAAAAAAAAAAATTTCATTTGCAAATATGAGAAAATGGAGAACAAATCACCAAGAGGAAGCCGGTGGATTTTTATCGAATTTATCAGAATCCTTGTGGATGAGGCGAACACAAGAAAATAATCCAAAGATACACATATATAAATTTCCTTGAAGCTATTTCATTATTTTGCGGATAAGAATAAGGAAGTCAATAAAGTGAGATGAATTCTCTCTTTCTCATCGAAGAAGAAGAAGAAGAAGAAGAAGAAAAAAAAAAGAAGAAGATCCAGGTAGGATTTTCGCTAAAACGGATGAATCGCACGAGTCAATTCCGGAGACTGTGGCTTCATCGCCATTGGGTGAAGGGAGAGCAGAATCGGAGAGAGATTATCAGAGAAGACTGGTGCCCCACCAGGTAATCCTTAAGTTTTAGATCCTTTCTCTTTCTCTCTGCATGCGCTTCTTGCGCGATATTCAACTTCTCATTCCCGCCGCAATGTTGGATAGGCATATGTAAGATACCTGTTCCCTTCTTTCGCAATGGATCCACTTCTCGCGCACACAAGTATTTCTATTCTGCCTCTCTATATACTCCTATCCGCTCTACCTCTCACTCCTCTCATTCTTGTTCTCTCATAGTACAAGCAACCTCCCTTGAAGCAGACTTCAGCATAGTTCTCTCCTCTTACTATATCATTCTGTATATATGTATATATGTCTCTAAGCATCTATTTAGATCAATTCTTCATATCTTTACAAAATTCTCCTCAATGGTATTTTTTTGTAAATAATTTTTCTAAACAGAAATTAATAGATTAATAATAAAAATAATAATATTAAATGGTGATATAAAAATTTGTTCATTGATAATAATAATAACTACTTATAATTGAATTATTTCTGGACAAAAAAAAGATCTTACAACTTTATCTAGATCTTTACTCTTTCAGGCATTTCTATCGATCTCTTACACTCTTTTTATTTCTCTCTTATAGATTATTTCTCTCCTCCAAGCATCTCTCAGTCACTCAAGAATGCAAAGTTAACTATATACATATAATGTGAGTCTCGAGCGAATATATATATATGCTTCTCGTTCTCATAGAGATAGAGGGAATAACTATTCGCTCTTTTCTGAACACACAGATCGAGATATTCAAATCGCCACGAGATTTTCAGCCTCCGGATTTACAGTGATCGGCACATGAAGAATGCAGAAGCCACGCTGATATGGCGAAAATAGAAAATTATTCAAGCTTCACTTGTAAAGTGGGATATTTTAGAAATTTACCAGAACATGCATCATCATTTCTATAGTGATGTATGTTGCGTTATCATTGATCTAGGATCGTATCTGTCTTATTACTACATGTTGAGAGCATAAAAGAGGGACCACTTGTATAAATTTATGTATTATACATTATAATTTAATAAAAAAAAAATTAACCTTTCATTAATCTAAGAATATAAAATAATAAAGAGAAGGGAAAAAAACAATTAAAAAGAATATAATCCATTTAACATCAGATAAAATCGAGGATATTTACTCTAGAAGAGAAATTCTTTTTTTTTTGACATAATGCGATATTCCCACGATAATTAGAATTTCGAATAAAACTCAAAACAATAAACAAGGATAATTGCAAAGAAATGCTCAAGATTTCACAGCGAATAGAAAATAATAATAATTTTTATGTTTAAAATTAACAGATTTGGAATTATTATTATGAATAATAATTAAAATTCTTTCATATCAATTAATAATAAATTATTTAGTAATTAATTAGTATGAAAATTTTTTTTTCATATCACAAAATTAACTAATTGATAATAAATTAATCTGATATAGCAATTGTCAATGAAATAGTTTCATTCAATAACTATTATCAAACTTTTCAAGCGTGAACTTACAATTAAAGACTTTCGATTAGAATATATATATATTTTCGCCATTAAATTGTAACTAATTTTATATTCATTTCTCTTTTTCGATGTTTTATTGAAATGCAAAATAAGGAATTAGTGCGAGGGTTTATTCCAATTTCAAAGGAAAGTCTCTCGTGTGAATTTATGTAACGACCTCATTACAAAAACCGAATACAGAAAACAGAAACGCATAGGTTGAAATGTTATAGTACTTATACATATATATATATATATATATACATGAGAGGTGAGCCTCGAGGAAAAAGGCGGAACGACCTTTGCTTGCACAGAGAGAAGATTCGAGTGCTTTCGCTTTGAGGAATGGAAAAACGGACGTGCACACTTTACTTTGTGGCACGCGCAGGTGAATTGTACCACGTGCAATGTTACGATTTAATTCAATATTTTCTTAATACATAATTGAAGAACGATTATAAACAATTTTTCCCCCGAGTATAATTTTGAAAATTATTGAAAAATATCACATTTTCTTTTTTTAAATTCACATGTTATTTCTATATTTATGTTTGATTATTGAAAGAAAATTGATGTCAAATAAATGTTTCCTGAAGAAATTTTCCAAATATCTCGTGGCTGTATTATTAAATGTCATTACTTTTGAGTTTGAAAAAAAAAGGTTTTTGAATTATGATGGACGTGAAGTGAATTATGAATGTTTCAAAACAGTCTTACAAAAGGAGACTGTTACTACTGAAACAGTATTCAAGAACAGGAGAATGACTCCGCAATAACGTTGACCTTTTGTCTTGCACTTTGTTCCTCTCTCTGTCTCTCTCTCTCTCTCTCTCTCTCCATATATATAAAAGAAAAACCAAGAACATCGAAGATTTAGAGTCAATCAATTCGATAATTTACTGCATTTTCCAAAAAAAAAAAAAAAAAAATTGTATTAAAAAAAAACTGTGTTTTTTCTCTAGTGAAGAGTAGAAATTTGCATTTTTAACTTAAAGAAGAAAAATAATTTTCACTTTTTGATTAAAAACTAAAATGAAGAATAAAATTCCAAATAATGAAAAAAAAAATTAATTTAAAAATTATTATAGATTTTTTAGAAATTTTTTTTCTAAATTTGAAAAAAGGTTAATATTTTAATTACCTCGTCAGAAATATCGCCAAGTTGTTGACGATCCTCGGTCTCAAGACGTTCCTCGATTTCTTCTCGACTTCTCACCACCGTCTCGTTAAGCTCTTTCTGAACTATTCCTTCTCCTTTCCCTCCAGTTGGCCATTCCACCTCCTGAGGTTCGTCCCCGGTCGTCCGTCTCTGCAATCATCAAAGATGTACGACTTTCTTCAGAGAGTGCCTCTTTTGCGAGAGGTCAATTATTGTTTTTTTTTCACTCTCTGTCACTCGAGAGGCAAGAGAGCGAAAAAATTTGATAAATAATTATTAACTATAGATAATGGGACACTTTATATAATATATTGGTTTCCGTTTTTAAAATTCAATTGAATGAGGCCTCACGTTCCTAGACATTAAAGAATGTCAAAAAAAAAATTTTTCATCTAGCTCTCACTCATTGAGAAAAGTGCTTTGTACCATTTCTGCGATTTCACGCGTGGCATTATGATGAATGTTCAAGATAAATTCTTCGCATCACAAGAAATTTCACAGAGGTCAAGGACAGAGAAAATTTACACTTGACATATTATTTACTTTTTTTTTGTTAAATTTCTAAAAAAAAAAATTACTTCTAAAAATTATTGCGATTCAAATTTCTATTTCTCAATTTTAAAAATTTTAATCAACTTAATAAGCTGCTGCTGTTATTATTATTATTTAAAAAACGAACAAATAGGTCTATTGTAATAAATGTTAATAAAAATAGAAAAAAATATTAATTATAATAATTAAAAACGGGAAATAATTTTTTAAAAAATTATAATACCTCCTTAGTGGTATGCTCTTGTTGCTCAACATCTTCAGTTGTATTGGTGGTAACGAGAGGTCCGGAATCAACGACAACTTCACCATCTTCGAGAACAACTTGTCGTTTCACCCTTGTCTCAATTTGTCTCGTTGTAGTAATTTCCTTCTTTTTACGTGTTTCCCATTCCTCTGCAAAAATTAAAGAAACATTAATTTGAAAGCCACAAAAAAAGAGACATTATTTTATTCACATATATATATACAAATTGTATTCTCAATATTATAATAACAAATATCATTTAAAGACAGGATGTAATTAAAAAAAACACACACACACACAATGAACTTTTTTTATAAATTGCATATTGTCAACATAAATCAAAGTCAGGGATGAATGAGCAAAATCATTCTGCGAACCTATTTTTTATAAAACAATTATTAATTTAGAAAAAAAATTATGATTATTATCGGAAAATTAAATTTTGGAAATTATTTTTTTTTTAAATTTTAAATTGACGCCATCTCGTTAATAATACTCGCGGTCTTTGTTTACCAACACTTTTACGAAAGGCATGCAATTTTTGTAACTCTGAGTTATAAACACCTACACAAAAATGTGATAGGGTAAACGTGGGTATTAAAGCAACGCTATGCGCTATAATACCATATTCACAACAACGCCATTTGTATTGTTTACCATAACACTGTTCGATAATAAGAAAAACAGTTAGTGTTCCATGTAATGTCCGTCCGCCAATTATTAAACAACGTCTAATTACATTCATTTCCGATCCACTTTTTTTTTTTCGTTAACCATTAAAAAGAAATTTACTTCACCTATTGCTTCTTACTGCAATAAATTTTTTTTCTAAAATAACATTTTTTGTTTTATTTATTATAAATTTTGTATTATATTTTTTTCAATAATTATTTTGCAATTGACTTTTGTAAAATATAAAAAATTTTATATCAAAACAAAAACAAATATTATTTAAATAAATATAAATAAATATTATCTATTAATTTAATTTAATTTGGAATAAATTTCTTTAAATAAAGTAATTATGAAAGAATATAATTAACTTAAACGAATAAAATGCATGCTTACATGAGAGATATAAACTTTTGTCTCTTAGAAATTCAATTACCGCTATTTTATGACACAGAGAATTTTTTATGTTTATATGAAAATAGTTTCAAGTGAAAAGAGAGTAGATTATTTCTCAAAAAATAACTGTCTGACAATGTAACTACATGACATGAAAAAAGTAGGAAGTAAATTGCATAACTGAATATATAATTACACCTGTAATATATAATATACAATAAAATAAGAATATATGTCCTCAATGAAAGATTCTCAAGAGTTCTCATTATTAAATATGAATGAAATTGTTCTTATTTTATTACTGTCCTTGACTGACAACAGCATAAAAAATGTTTTAATAAAATAAATATGTTAAAATGTTTTTTTTAAATTAAAAAAAATTTTTTGTTTAATTATTATGATTTAGAAAACAAAATTTAATTTATCTGGATAATAAATAAATTATATAGAAAAAAATTTTGGTAAATAAGAAAAATAGTTAAATTTTACCTTCCTTAACAGTAGCAATGGATTTCTTTGGATCGACCTGAAAATAAAAAGATGCGAATAAGAAAATATTAAAGTAGCAAACAAGCATGAAATTACGACTAATAAGCATTCAAGGTAAGTATGTTCTTCGTCAGATAACTTCTAGAAAACTCATTCAAGTGAATTATCCTTCAAGCATTGAACTCCACCGCATTTTTTATTAATAGCAGTTGGTTTATAAATATATGCGTAAGTACATAGCTATCAATGATTGAAAATGCAATGCATTAAAGATCATTTCAAACTCATTACGTGAGGCATATTAAATTGAAAATGACAATATACGTAACAAAACGATATTCACGTCATGCCAGTTAAATACCACACATAAAACGACACTTGCTTTGCGAAATTATTATTATTTTTTTTATTATAAAATTTTTTTCTATTTTAATTTAATTAATTTTATTTTGATTCGATTAAGAAAAGAAAAAAAATTACCAGAATTCCAGGATGAGTTCTTGCTTCGTATCGGCGTGTTGAAATCACCTCCATCATTGAATCATGCTTGTCGATCTCAATCGTACCAACTTCGTCGTGATCTGTGAGAAAAGAAAAGTTTCTCGCGTCAGAATATATTTCCATGATACCCCATAATTTATCTATAGTTGGAAAAAAAATACGTTTCATAACTATACACATAAAATAAACTATAGCTTATAAAATATATTGAAATATAAATAAATAATAAAAAAAAACAATGAAAAATAATTTTGTATTTTGGAAAAAAAATAATATTAATAATTAATAAAATAATAATTATATTTTATTAATTACATTTTAAAAACAATGCTATTATTTTAAAAATCAATTTATACAATGCAATTTCCATAAGTTACACTTTCGAGTCTTTTATGCTCTCTGAAGCCTGACCTAATAATCCAAAATGTAATTAAGAAACATGCAATTGATCTACATATTATCATGCAAAATAAGTGAAATGAAGAATTTAATAGTTCTCAGTCACACAAAAAATTTTCCATTGATTTTTCATTTAAAAAAAATTTGAAAATAAATTCAACATTTTGCACAATATTTTGTATTTCAATTCTATTAATTTATTAATTAATTCCATTTTATCAAAAAATCAAATTATAAAAGTGCTTTTCAAATATCCTTGTATATGACCACGAAAAAATAAAAGAAAAGGTCATTATTTATATCAAATTTTTTTTTCAGAAAAAAAAATGTCAATGACAACCTAAAAAATTGAGTAATTTCCTTAAAACAAAATAAAATCCATCAAAATATTGTTACAATAAGCAAAAAAGGTAATGTGAAAAAAATTGGTTACATTATATCAATCACTTTATAAAAATGAAAAATAAGATTAGTATTCCACTGTCCATTCCAGGAGAATGATGAAAAAAAAAGTTACAAGTTTAAAATAAATTTTTTAAAATGATTAAATTAATAGAAATTATTATTTTGTTTTTTGGAGCATCGCAAATAATTTGTGCGGAATTTTCATCTTTTAAAAATATTATTAAAAAATTGAGAAAAAATGAATTTAAAGCGTATCAAACGATAATAATACACGATGAAAAAAATCAAAATAGTGACGAAATTCTACAAGCAACATTCAGTAATAATCCAAGTCGAATGATAAACACTGACAATAATCCAAATGAATTTAAATCAATTGCCTCGAGATATTTTCACAAACAAACACTTTTTATAGTTATCATTGAAAATAATGAAACTAAAATAGAAAAATTTTTCAATTTTATAAAAAATATATCAAATAAATTCACCTTTCCTAAATGTTTGATGATAATTTTAACAAATAAAAAAAATAATAGCCGTGAAGATTTACTTCGATCAGCATGGTCGAGAAATTTTATTCATTTAACAATTCTTGATGTTGAGAATAAAAATTCCCCACGCAATTTAATTGGTCAAAATCAAAAAAATCTAATAATTCATCATTTCAATAAATTCACTAACAATTACACAATGATTAATTATTCAAAAAAAAGTGTAATTTTTCCAGAAAAATTAAAAAATTTAAATGGTTTTAAATTGAGAAGATGTAAAGATACAAAATATCATCAAAATAGTAGGGATAAAAAATTTCAAATATTTTCCAAAATAATGAATTTTAAAGATAAAAAAATTTCAAATATTAACAATTGTATTAAAAATAAATCTATAAAAATTGATATTGTTTCCTGTACAAATTTAATATCCGAATATTCTGAATATAATAATTGTCATTTAACTTCTAATCTTTATGCCGATAGAATTTCAAATAAATCCGAATATTCAAAAAATCGAGTATATCAACTTTTACCAGGAAATTTTTTATATTTAGTACCAAAGAAAAAAATTGTAAATTATTTATTTATGAAATCATTTTATCAAGGAACATTAATTTTCTTTATTCTTCTTTTAATTTGGAAATTTCTTCGTTCCTTTAAATTTAATGGTGAAATTTGGAAATTTTGGCATCTCTGGGAGGCATTATTGGGATTATCAATTTCTCTCAATGTAAAACATTTTTCGGACAAAATTATCATGATATTTACACTTTTGGGTTGTTTACTACTTTCATCGGCTTTACAATCAATTTTAACATCAATTCAAATTGATTCAAATTACGAGGATATTTTATTGTCAATGGATTATTCAACTAAATGGGAATTTAAAATTATTAAAAATTATTCAATACACGCATTGGATATTGTTGGAATAAAAACACCTCTTTCATTGAATAAAAGAAATGGTAATTGTGAAACATTGGAAGATTGTCTTGGAGAACTTTTGGAAAATAAAGCAGTTGCTTGTAGAGTAAATCGAAAACTTGCCAAACACGTATTATTAATGGATTTAAAAAGAAATAATATTCAAACAATTAAGATTTTTAGTTTTGGATTTAGTTTATTTGATTTTGATGTGACTGATTTTGAAGAAAATTCACCATTTACTTTTGAATTTGAACGTCAAATGACAAGATTTATGGAAAGTGGTTTAAATGAAAAATTCTATGAAGCCAATGAAAATATTAAAATGATACAGGAAGATAAAGTAAATTTGAGTGAAAATAATTTTGAATTGCCAATTTCGCCATTTATATTCCTTGGAATTGGTTTGGGAATTTCGTTTATTGTATTTCTTGGAGAAATATTCATTTTCATTATTCTATTACTAAGGTATAATTATTTTTATAATTAATTTTTTTATTATTAATACATTAATAATAAAAAATATTACTTTTTTATTATTATTTTTTTTTATTGTCAGTATTATAAAAATCAATTTAAAATTATTTAATTATTTAATTATTTAATTATTTAATGACAATGTAAATTATCACTTTTTCTATAAAAAAAAAAAAAAAAAAAAAAAAAAAAAACGTATATATTTTATAGATAAATGTAATAAGCTCCCATGAAATTTAAATTACATATCTACATTGCAATTGAAAAAAAAATTGTAAAGGTCAAATACACGATTGTTATGATATAAAAAAAAGAGAGAATAGTAATTTGAGTAGTAAATAGATCAGTGAAACGTGACTTTCAAAATAGATCATCAGGAGGATAAACCTTGGAAATATGTTTAATTTTTTTTTTTTAGAATTCAGAACGTGTGGATTCTGTGATCAACGATATAGAATTATTACACCATCGCGCAATATATACAATATCTTGTGTGGATTCTGTATTCATATATCTTTTAAAGACATCATTAAACAAATAAGAAAAAAAATTGAATTTTAAGGCGTTTAATGATAATAATCCATGGCGGGAAAAATCAAAAGGAAATTCAACAAAAAAAGCTAATTTCATTATAATTAAATGAAAAATAAAAATTCTAAATGCGAATTTTTACTAGACAATTCCGTATGCCCCGTAGCAATTTTTTTTTACCTAAAAAAGAAAAAATGAGATTAAAATTTTTTTTTTTGAAATTATAAACAATAATAATTATTCTATAAACAGAAAATAAATTTGCAAATAATTTTTTCCACTCAAATGTAAGCATAAATTTTTAGCGAGACATATAAGAGACACGATGAATTGTGCCAATTGTGTCCTTGCAATTAAAATTACTCTTTAAAAGGTCATGTTTTTCTTTGGTAATCATCTTGTTCTATTGCACATACAAATGACGTCAATTTATTATATATACACATTGATTGTCATTCGTCACATATATATGAATGTAATTTTAAAAAGACTTTTTTATTTACTTCCTCTAAAGGGATTGGTCACACACCCAATGTTTTATTATTGAATCATAATAATTACATTCAATAATTTATTTTCTCCTTCTGAGATAACATTTATTTATAAATATATATCTAATAAATTCCTTCGCATAAAATCCGTTAGGGGAAAAAAAAACACTCTTTTTTTACCAAAAAAAAAAATTATTTCTAATTCATCATTACCTTAATTCATTCAAAAAATAATTAATAAATTTGCAATTAGAAAAATGAAATATTGAAGAGATCACAAGTTGGAGATTTAAATGCTTGGATCCAATGAAACGAATAATAGTATTGAAGTAGGTGGATGGGTGGACCCGGGGGGGGACAAAAAGGGGGTAAGAAGGGGGGACGTAGGTAGGATTCTCGTGGGTGGCCGCGAGTAGGTGCAGCTGGGCACCACGTGACCTCCTCAAGGACGCAGCCATTTTGAATGAAAATAACAAGCGCGCTCGATTTATAATCGATTCCCGTATTATAATCTTTGCAAAAAAAAAAAAAAAAAAAAAAATTATAATTTTGATATTAGAAAAAAAAAATTCCTCAATAAGGATAATAAATAGATAAAACTTGTCACGAAGATCAAGATGAATTGCCGATTATGAAATGATGATTCTAAATGATCGAACCCTTATAACGATGTATATATACCTGAAGAGAGCAAAGATTCTCATCGCCTTGCGAGTGTTACATAACAAAAGCTACATTACAGTCTATACAAAATAATTCGAAAAATTCTTTCGTACATTCCCCTTTAGATACAAATAAAAATCACAATTAATCTTTTAATGTATTATTTGTCAAATGGTTTAGAATTCATTGAAATAAAATTTGAATAGACAAAATTATCATTAGAGAGTAAAATTATTGTATAACTTTCTATTCCTTTAAGTAGTTTATGCCATAGACTCATGAATACAAAAGTGAATAAGAATTTACATTTTAAAGTTTTCGACAAAAAAATTACACAGGAATTTTTCTTAAGAAATCAAAGAATAAGCGAATTAATTTATTTATTAATAAAAACTAATTCAATAATTATTTATTAAAAAAAAATTTTTTATGTAACAAACTATATTCTGATTAATATCTTTAGTTTATAACAATGACAGATAAAGAAATGTCGATTGGCGAAGAAAACGAAATTAATGACCAAAGCATGGACATTGTATTGTTTTAGCGAAAACAAAAGACAAAGGTGTGGAAGACAGTAATTGTTTAACAAAACAATAACATTCAATGGAAATCTCTCTGACAGAATCTGTTTATACCCATCTCTCGTCTATATCTTTTGAGTTAGAAAATAAAAGAAGACCTTAAATTAAATTCTCGAATCTGATAATGGTGAACTTCAATGATTATTATAATCCAACTGCAGAATGATACTGTAAACAATAAAAATCGCTTATTAATTATTTTCAATTATTTGTAATAAATAAATGACAAAATATTTTTTAAAAAAATTGGAAAATTCTTGTATTTTTATAAACTTGATACGGGAAACATGTTTATTTATACAAGAATAATGTTATACAATCTGTAATCAGACGTGGAATAAATAGCAACGCTTGGATGAATTGGTTGCTATGGTAATATTCTCTTTCTCTCTTGACAAGAAGAATAGATACCAACACTAAAAGTTTAATAAAGCGGAAAGCAAGGACGTATTTCTTTTGTGACACAAATCACTCCTCTTTTTTTTTTGCAAAGAGTTTATAAGACAATTCTTTAAGCTAATAGAAAATTTGACGCCTCTTTGTTTGCTTTAAAAAGCTTTTTTTCAGATAATATTTTTCCTCTCTTTTTTTACGAAGATTTTTTTTCGCATTTAAAAGAAAATTTTTCAAGAATCAAGATTTTAAAAACAAATCATCAGCGGATTTAAAAAAAAAAAAAAATTGTGTGTAAAGACATCGAAGATATTTTAAGAAAACTAACTCGTTTTACCGAAAACGGTATCATTTATCGCAAGTTGACCAAATAAAGAGCTTCAACAATTCGACCTTACTTTCAACGAAATATACTGTTTCGTAGGCGAAATTCCAGAAACGTGTCCTCAGTTTCAAGATTTGAAAGAACAACAATTTTTCAGACTTGCCACTCCCACACAAACTGTATATATTCTTTTTAAACATTTGACACCTTTTCAGATAAGATTCTCACTAAATCAACTATAATAATTTTCAAATTTAATCTATTTTTTTTTTAAAAACAATTATTGAAAAAATTTACGTCAATTATTATTTATTACTATTTCCTTTACCAATAATTTCATTTTAAATCTCAGACTTAAAAAAAAATTTTGTTACCAAAAAAAACATTTTGTTACTAAAACTATTTTTGATAATTTTTTTCTTCCTAAAGAAATTAACAATAATAAATTAAATTATAAAATTTTGTATCAATATTTTAATTATAAAAAGATAATACAAATTTTTTTGATCTAAAATCACCTTTTTTTTGATAATTAAATTTATTATACATAAATAATAATTTACACAATAAATTCTAGGAAAAAATCAAGAAAAACTCGTCTCGATTAGGAAGAATTTCATCAAGTTTATAGTTTTCCTTGAAAGTGTATAATATACCTCGTGTCTATATATGTGGATTCTGGATTTATATAGTCTCAGAGAAGAATCTCTATTACGCAGAATTGATAATTATATTTATTTTTTTTTTTTTGATAATTCACTAAAAAAAAATCACTTTTTTTTAATAAAATAAAATGAAATTCAAAAAAATCGTCACATAATCACTTCATTAATTTAAAATTTATGAGAACAATTGTAAAAATTTTAATGATTTCATCTTGAAAATCGAATGGATAAAATATTCTCTAGCGCGCACGACCGGCACTCGCGCTACTCTGGCCTGCCGCGGTTTTCTGACAGTTTCCGAACACGCGATGTCAGTAGAAGGAGAATGAATACGAAGTCTCTGATCGAAGAGAGGGGGGCTACATCGCGATTCATTAAAATATAATAAAAATTAAAAAAAATTATACAAAATATTTTTTTGATACATATCTCTAGTAAGAGAGATGACAAAAAAAACTCTTAGTATATAAAAAATAATTTAATTTCCTCTAAAGATATATTTAAAAAATTCTTACCTTGAAAATCTTGACGAATAATCAGGATCATTAACCAACTTCCCATTTAAAAAGTATATATCAATATTGATCAGTTCATGACACGGCGGAATATAATAATTGGTGCCTTTCGAAACTAGATCCGTTTCTCTCTTCGTTAATTTATTCTGCAAATAAAATATTTATTTAATTATGAACGAAAATAGTAAAAAAGAAAAAAAAATATTTGGAAAGTATTGATTATTTTATAATTATAGAATAATTAAAAATACATTTGTTTGCAAATTATGAAATTTTTTTTTTTCTCAATTAGGGGAGAAAAAATTAAAATATAAAAAAATATATTTATAAATACCATAGTAATGATGATTCGCAACATCATGTAAAGATCCTTTATTCAGCGCCAAGTTTGTCAGAGAGATTTTTTTTTTGAGAAGGTCATATAAGTCCAATCAGGGACAAGTGGATTCAGGGATATCAGCGCTGAAAATCGGTCAGCAGGTCAGAGGCGGTCAGAGTCGTTCGCGGAGGTTGCCAACAAGACAGGTGACTTTTTTTTTATTCGATCTCACCTGCTCTCGTGAAATATCTCCATAAAAGTACCTGTAATTTCACATACAAACATTATATAAAGAATAAAAAATTAATTAGACAATTAAATATATTGTTATCTACTTTGAGTTTAGTCTAGACAAAGTAATTATATATATATATATATATATATAAACATCTCTCTTTTAATATATTAAAAACTGCATTAACACACAATATAACGAATTTTTTTTCTTCATTATAACTTTCATCTCTGACACAAATTCTTATATTTATTGGCTTTCAAAAAGTCAATAAACAATAAAATGAAGAATTCAAAAAAAGAATTATATTAAAAATAAATGATTCAGTGTATTCACTTTCACTTAATAACTCTTCCAGATATGAATTTCAAGTTGAAACTTAGATAATAGTGATGAAAGTTACAACATTAAATTAATACTAAATAACTTCAATAATTATGTGAAGAAATATCATTTACAAGTTTTATATATATATATATATATACAGCCGAAGGAATAAGAAAGTATAATTTTTGCTTATCTTAAACTTGAATTGAATATTTTGCCCCAGGAATCTAATTATTAGATCAGAAATTAATTTATTATATCACTTTTACCAAATCCCTGAAATAATTATAAATTATAATTTATTAATAAATTGTTGTTCTTAAATGTACATATTTAAATTATATTATTTTTCTTACATAAAATATAATTAAAATATAATTAAATATAATTATAATTTTACTTCACAATGTAATAAAATTTTCCGTTCAATTAGTGACAAACTTACGTTAAATCCAATTATTCAAATTTAAATATAAAATGCTTTTTACATATTTGTTAATTAATATTAACATTCTTCAAGTTTATTGAATTTAAAAAATTTTAATAAGTTATTTTACTAGGAAAAGAACCAACAATAAAATCAACAAGTAAACCTTTTACAAATAGAGGTTAGAATATTTTGATACTCAATTAACATTTGTTAATTAAATAATTAATATATGTATACTAATTAACATGTTATTCATACCATCTGCACTGAAAAATACTGAATTTTGATAATATTTTTATTCTTCCCAATATTTTTATAACATAAATCACTAATTAATTAAAAAAAAAACTTTTAACGTACTTTTTTTTTACAACTAATTTTTTATATAATGAAATTTGTCGCAAATTAATTCGATATATCGATTACTTCGATTCGACCAGCACTCGATTTGCCTTACTCTGACCTCTAGCGGCAAACGTAGAAACTTCCGACACTTGAACTTGTAGATAAAGTAAATTTCTTTTATTTTGCAAAATAATTTGTGTGGAAAAAATTATCCAAAAAATGACAGATGAAAAGTGTCAGTGAAAATATTGTGAATATTATTTAGTATAATTATCGTATATTATCAAAAATATTGTTAAGAATATTAATAATAAAAGTCTGAAGTTTATCAAGAAGTATTTTCATAAATATTACTGAGAATATAAACTCATAAATGACAAGTATTGTAAATTCAGTTGGCAAACTAACCTCAAAATTTGACAGCTCAAAATAAAACTGTCACAAAGTATAAATAAATTTGTTGACAATAATTGTTTGGAGATAAAAACTATGTAATTATATATTAAATAAAATTATAACCTAAATAAAAATGAAATTTAAATCTGATAATGAAAATTGTTTCATAAATTAATTGAAATTGTAATCAATCTCAAAATAATCATTATATATTGTTATCAAATGTGAAAAAAAATGAACAATTATATTACCAAGTAAACAATTCAGAAGTAGACAACCGTGTATTGACAATGATAACAAAAATCTCTGTATAATCAGCTGGTATAAACCTTGACAACGTCGATACAGTAAAGTTCTCGGTAATATATAAAACCAAGTTGAAATTCTCTGCTACTAAAGAGAATTTTCTCTCTCTCGCGACTTTGGTTTTCACATACTATTCGAGCACCGTCTGCTGTGTGTGGTGAGGCAAATGATGACAGACTGAACCATGGGATTAAAGTGAAAATCGCGTCGTCGAAGTGTAATTGGGGCGTGTATTGATCAACAATTATTAATTATTTTATTTATTCACAAGTGAATGTAAATTAAATGATGAAAATACAAATGTGATTGTGGTGTGTTACGGATTAAAGTGCGTGCCGGCCCTTGACTTGTGTTGAAGAAGTTAAAGGCGGCCATTTTTACCTCCGCGATGCGGCAACGATCCGCCATTCCAAAGTCTACGGTGCCCTCGGGTGCATCTGGCTCCGGATCGACCTGGGTGCATCCTTATATCGACCGCGACGAGAGGAGGTCGGTCGAGGTCGCGCCAAGATGAAGCCTCATGAATCTCATTGAGACGAGTACGTGCGTGCGTTTTTTTTTACGTGCGTACGTGCCGCGAAGTGCAGTGTTCGATTGTCATAATATCAATATATAATACATATATATATATATATATATGTATGTATAATCGTCACTCCCAGTAAAAGGAAAATAAAAAAAAAAAAATAGTGTAAAGGAAAAAAAGAATCGTGAGTGAAAATTTAGTGGACAGTGTGTGATTGGATCGATGTGTTCGCGAGTAGTGCATTTTTCCCTAAAGGTGCTGATTTGGTATCATTAAAAAGGATCATACGGGCAGGAGAATTTGTTCTCTTTTATTTTTTTTTAATTTTTTTTTTGTCTTACCAACTTTAAGTTGGTTTTGAGTAGGGATTTCAAAAAAAAAGAGGATGGAGATCGAGGCGAAGCAGAGAAATCAAAGAAATCGGCGACGCGAGCGAGCTCAGCGTATGCTCGCGCAAAGGGAAAGCCTGGCAAGCGCGAAGCAACAGCAACAACAGCAGCAGCAGCAGAGGCAACGACCCGATGAGGAGGACAGCCACAGTGGCGAGGACGAGGACCCCGGTGGCCTCGGTTTAGGACTCTCTAGGGGAAGTCATCCAAGGGATAACCATCCGCGACCTCCCAGGCCACCACGGCCACCGAGGCCACGCAAAAAGTCCTCCCTTCAAGGTGCCTCACAAAAGGAGCCTCCATTTGAAGAGGACATTATCGACGGTTTTGCCATCCTCGCCTTCCGCACCTACGAGGAACTCGAGGTGAGTGCCCTTCGTCCTCGCAATCTTTCTCTCTCTTTCTCTCTCGCCATTCTTGTCTCTATCTATCCATCTCGAAATTTTTTTTTCTTTTTTAGCCTCTCGTTTCCTTCCTTCCTTTTCTTTTCATATATACGGTTGTTGCGCCACCCAACACACAGAGCCAAATCCCCTCAGATTTTTACTGATCTCTCTCTCTCTCTCTCACTCTCTATTTTGGGGGAGTGGGAGAGAATTTTCCGATTGAGCGAATCTCCGACGAGAAAGGGCGATTCGCTTATCGAGCACCGAGGTTTTATTCCAGAGAATATACATATATATATACAAGGGAGTCTGTGGGGAAAATGAAGAATAAGAAGAAGGAATTTACAAGGTACACATTTTGGAACTTGGTATTGATTGGTTGAATTATTCGTGATTGCTACCGTTGTGTACTGCGGTTTTTTTTTAAATTATTGACGTCAAAGTGTGATAAAAAAAATTATAAAAGTTGTTTAATATGTTAGAGTTTATGAAGTTCCACGCAAAAAAAAATTTAAATAGAGAGATAGAGATAAGATCTTATCGAAAGCGTAACATTATTAATCTTGTGGATTTAAAAAGAAATCAAAATTAAGAAAGTCATTAAATGAATGAATTTTCATATTTAAAAAATTTTTTTTTTGTATTTTCTTACTTTTTTTTTTTTTGTATTATTTTTTGTAAATTCTATCTAATTATGATTTCAAATAAAAAAACTAAAATAAGAAAAGAAACATAAAATATGAGATTACTCACCAATATAATTGCATCCTGAAAAGGCATCTCTCACATATTTTTCCTTTTTTCTTAACTAAAGTAAAAAAACGATCCTTTCTTTGTTGCTCGTGAAATGGTTTCGAAGAAAATCTGAAAAAAAAGTAAAAATCATAAATTATTCGAAACTACTTAAAATATATAAGAAATCAAATTTGTAATATGAAATTTTAACATTTTTTTTTCCTAGATGAAAATTTGAATGCAATATAAATCAACTGATTTTCAACAAGATTCTTTCATTATTGACTTTATCTCTCTCTCTCTCTCTCTCTTGTGGCAAAAGAAAACAAATTACTTTGCAGCAAAAATCAATGTTAGAATGTAATCAGTCTGCCAGTCTATTTTAAGAGTATATGAGAGAGATTTTCTCCGGGATCAAAAACATCAATTTTCGTCTCAATCTTATATATGTGTCGAATATATCATAATAAATCAAATTTAAAAATTTTGAGAAATTAATATATTTTTTGTTCTAAAATTTTTTTTTCTCCTTTTAAAATTTCATTTAATTTTCCGACTAATTAAAAAGAATTTTCTTTAAAAATAGACTTTTTTTGGGTTAAACTTCCGGAATTTCCGGTTTAAAAAATTTGTCACTTAAAAATTTTGATTTAATTTTCCGACTAATTAAAAAGAATTTTCTTTAAAAATAGACTTTTTTTGGGTTAAACTTCCGGAATTTCCGGTTTAAAAAATTTGTCACTTAAAAATTTTGATTTAATTTTCCGACTAATTAAAAAGAATTTTCTTTAAAAATAGACTTTTTTTGGGTTAAACTTCCGGAATTTCCGGTTTAAAAAATTTGTCACTTAATTAGCAACATGTGTGACTGACACAAATTTATAAATATTATCCTGATAAAGTAAAATCTACTTTCTTTCTCTTTATATATGAGAATAAGAAAAAAAAGAGAGAAAGGAATTCTAAAAAAGAATTGAAAAAAAAAAATTCTTTATAATAACAAGAAAAACGGATTCTGTAATGAAAATTGCAATAACTTTTTTTAAATCTTATAATCGTGAAATATCTTTTATGTATCGCAAAAGTTATGAGTGACAAAATATTAGTAGTTTAAAAGCCTTAAAGATAAATATCACAAAAGCTGTGCGTCATTTTAAAAACAGCGATATTTAAAACGAAAATTAACAAGTAAAGAAAAATAAATAAATAAATAAGAAAAATTATAATATATAAATGCAAACTGATGTTTGAAAATATAATGAAAAAAATGGAATCTTATAATAAAAGAAACAATATTATTAAAGAGAGAAAAATGGCAGTAGTCCAGAAAGGAAAGAGCCTTTGATGGGAAGAAACAAAAGAACGGGAGAGAAAAACATTTTTTTTTTTTTTAAGGTAAATTTTAGTCTTCCCTTTCTTTAGGTAATATAATAAAAGAAATGCGGAAGTTTGCACTGTAATCATTAAAGAGGGTACATTAAAACATGCTTAAAAAGCAGTATACACAACACACATGCTTTATGTATTGAAACCATACCGAGCATGAAACAGGATACTATATAACTTCATGGCACGTATGTTTATATGTATATATATATATATTTTTTATATGTATTACAAGAAAAAAAAGTGTGTAAACTTGTGTCAGGGTTCATTAACGACAATATGTAATTTAAAATGGAAAATCTAAACTTAAGAAAATACATTTGTTGTAATATACGACTTGAAAAAAAAAGACTAAAAAATTAAAGTGCGATATTATAAAAGCAGAAAAACCAGTGAATATATATATATATGCGAATAAGTTAAATGCATATACAATGAAAAGCAACAAACTCAGCAAGTAATAATTAAATAATAATAATTTAAAAGTAATTGCCTTAGACAAAACACGACAATTTTTTTTAGATAAAAAAAAAGTATTAATGTTTTAATCAAACAGTGATAAAAAAAAAACTCATAAAAGAATAAACATATACTAAATAATGTATAGCTAATTTATAAAATTTTTTATTCATTGCAATTATTTAAATTTATTATTATATTTAAATTAAAAAAAAAAATAATTTAATTTTTAATAATAGTACATTTTTCTCGATTTAACTGTGAAGTCAATCATTTTAATTCATAAATCAGTTTCAATCGAGTATCATAATTATTGCTCTAAATAGAATGATTAAATTCTCAAATGATTGCTTTGGAAACAAATTATCGTAATCAAATATATAATAAATTAATATTCAACACGATTAAATAAAACAAATACTAAGAAAATAATAATAAAAAAAAAAACATTTTATTATGGTAATTATTAAAACTAGAATTATTTATAATAAATTAAAGTTTAATTATTATCAACAATTATAATTAATAATTGAAACAATAATTAAAATATTCTTAGTTTCAAAACTACTATTTTGTATATTGTTTTTTTTTTGAAAATTACTTCTAAATTACATATATATACCTCAAGGTAAAAAAAATTGTTCACTTAAATGATTAGAAACTTTGTTTAAAAAAAAAAAAAAAAATTTCCGCGAGACAAAAAAAAAGTTCATAAATCGTAAAACACGTTTTTGTACAATTATTTTTAATAAGAAATTTCATTTGTTTTTTATTCTTTTTTTTATGGAAAAAATAATCGTTAGCGTAAAAATCATTAGAATAATTCATTTGAAAAATATAAATTAAATACAAAAGTAAAATTCAATTTCTTTGTAAATTAAATTTTAATAGAATTGATAAATTATCTTTGCATTGAGTAATAATTTTTATTTTTATTTTAATTTTGATATGAAGTGAACCAGATCGATCTATTTTGCCCGCGCGTTATCATTATAATTTTACATAAATAATATCTTTATTAAAACACATTCTCGACTTTGAAAAAGCTGACAAGTCTTTTTCTATATAAAAATACTAATTATCTAATTCTAAAATCTTTGCAATCGTTTCACGCGTTTCCGCTGCACGATGTTTAATTACTTTGGTATTCTCTTCTTGTTTTTTTTAAAAAAAAGGAATGTAAAAAAAAACATCAATTCTTTAGTTATTTTTGTTTAAGTTTTTTTTTATCATTAAGTGTTTGTAAATTATTTACGACTTGAAAAATGAGTATAAAACCTAATTATTCAGGTATATATATATGTATTTTATTAGATAAAATAGGTATTTTACTGTTTGCAGTAAAATTGTTACATCCACTTTATAATAAATTACCATAGAAATATAAATAGTTTTCACTTTTGAACTCCTTTCTCAAAAATAGTTGGGAAGTATTTTTATTTATCAAAATAAATTCGTACTTCAGTTATAAGATTATTAAAAATGGTGACACTTCTCCCGGTAAAAAAAAAACCATTTTTCAATTTATAATTTTAGCCTTGACATCATTTTTAAAACAATTCTTTTTTTTCAAAGTTCTCATATTATTTTTATATTCTATTCAATAAATTACTATATAATAATTTACTTATTTTTATTCGATATAAAAATAATTATATATATACAAAAAGACAATAGATTTTTAAACTTCATTTTCACACCCAGAGAAATGATTTATTTAAATCAAATAAAATATATTTGAATTAAATAAATGTATATTTGTCACAGAGCCTACTAACATATTTATTTGGTGTAAATAAAAATTTTATTTGACATAAATAAATTTTTCTTTAGTTTAAATAAATTTTTTATTCCAATGAAATAAAATATATTTGCAACAAATAAATGAGTTAGTATAGGCTCTGAGACAAATATATACTATTTCTCTGAGTGCAGTTGTAAATAATTTATCAAATATAATTTTGTCATTCAATAAATATTACATCTGTTTTCTTATATTCGAAAACTTAGATATATAGAAAATGGACTGATTATAAAATCAAATAAAAAAAAAAAGAAAAGAATGAAGAATTTGCCGCCTGAACTTATTTATATATACCGGTTTCCATATCAGTAAATTCTGTCCTTAAAAAGACTATGAGAACGAGTCTTACATTCTTAATGAAGGCAGAAAATATATATAAAATTTTTTTTGTTTGTTTTGAGAATGTCGTTTTTCTCTTTGCAAGTGTAACTTACACGGTTTGTCATTTTGATACCAATTGCACGTAAGACTGGTTTTGGCAGGTGAATCGATTGTTTTCCAATCGATAACCATTACGAAAGGAGAATTCAACTGCTTTTCAAAGAAATTGTCAGAAAAAAAGAGAGAGAGAGAGAGAGGGGGGGGGGCGATTGCCACTAGAAACTTTATCAATGTTACAAAACTCGTTTCACAAAATAATGATCATTCAAAGAAAAATTATTTATATGTATAACAACTTTTGTATAATATTTTTATGTTTCAATTTTTATATTTTTAAAGATTTTTCTGTACTTCAACCAAATAATTTTTATTTAAATTAAATAAATTGTATTCAAATACAATTTATTTAATTTAAATAACAATAATAATAATACCAATAATTTTTGTATTTGAAACAAATACCATTTAATTCATTCAAATAATAATTATTTGGATCAAATAAATTTTTTCCTACCTTTTTTAATAAAAAAAAAAAATGATTTTATTTAAAATTCTAATAAACTTTTTTTTTTCTTTTTTTTTGTTTTAAAAGAAAATTTAAAGTCCATCATATCTTTCGCTAATTTATTCGGTCGGTATAGTTATAATTCCAAACGTAATCATTCGACTGGAAACGTTTCGAGTGAGTTTTTATTTTAATGAAATCGCGTTTTTTTGACAACTATATATACGTGATGTTTAAAACAATTCTCGGGTTAAAACAAAAAAGTAGTTTTCGAGATAGAGAAAGTTAGACTCTTCTTTTGCCACACACACACACACACACAAATACACACAATATTTATATATATATAAAAAAGAGGAAGGAGCTACTCTCCGCGCAAGTTTCAAGTATTTGTTGAAAACTAACTCGTCCAGTTTACTTACCTCTCGTTGCGATAACGAGTTTCTGTTTTAGTGAACGCTCTACAATTTTTTTTCGAGTGGGTTATATCACTTGAAATTGAAATGAAGAAACTGTTTTATTTGTTGCTTTATTTTGACTGGACAAACTCCAATAAAGGGGGGTTTTTTTTTTGCCTTTGTATGTATATAACAA